CAAATGCGATTACTTTAACTGTTTATTTATTAATAAAATACTTGAAATTATTTAAAACCTTTGAATAATTTAACTTTTATTCATTTGTTATTTAGTGTTCATTCATTGTATTTTGACTGAACTCAATATAAAATGATATTTAATAATGATATGAGATTTTGTGAATTAATTATTTCAATTTGAGCAAAAATAATAAGTTCAAGTCATTAACAAACATTATTGAAACATGACTTTTTCTATTTTTTCTAATTAAACTCTAACTCATCCAATCAAATTAATTTATATATAATTTCATCTTATTAATTACAAGATATTTGAATACTTAAATAATATTTTTTAAATAGGAACAAAAACATAGATAATTAAAGTGATAAAAGAAAATCATAAAGTGTAAAGACAGAATAAGTTATAACTATTATATCTGTGACAATAATGAAAGAATGTTCATATCAATAACACAACTCAAAAAAAAAAAGAAAAATAAACAATAATGAATGAGAGTGAATAATGTCTGAATAATAAAATCAATGAAATAAGTCCATAGATGAAATGTATCTCAAATGAAAATAATAATGAAAACCATTTTTAAATTAGAAAAGTAGAAACGAATAATAAATTAAATATAAAGAATAATTTTATTAATGAATAGTGTTGAATTTGTTGATAATTCTTTTACATTATAAACACTTTACTAATGTTATTTGCTCAATATCTTTTATTTTAATAGTATTTCCAATTATCATTAAATATTAGAACATGATGTGTAAGTCAGATAATAAGTCAACAATGAAAGATATAAAACCAAAACAACAAATTTAAATTATTTCAGTACTAAAATTAATATTTGAAAATGACTGAAATAAATGATGTATCATTAATTATAAAATTGTTTCAACTGATAGAAATTAAAATGAAATTTAAAATATGAAAAAACAATAAGACGATTTTTTAATTTACCTTTTTTATACGTATTATTATATACTTTTCTATTCATTTTCATTTAATTCATCGTTTTAATTATTAATTCATCGTCATTTTCACATTTATTATTTGTTTTAATACTATCAAATTAGAAAACAGTTTATTCAATTGTAAATATGAATGATTAATAAAACAATTAATAGATATATCCACAATTGGATTTTCTTTATATTGAGAAGTGATTATTTCAGTTTCTTCAATATGCTATATTTCTATAATAGAGTTCATTTCTAGCATGCTCAAATTAGGTTGTTCTTCTTCTAATGTGATGCCAGAGTTTCCCGTGTAAAACATTAAGTCTTTCATATTTTTGATAATTATTGTTCGTAGGATTTTGGGGAATTCTAATTGTAATTTCAGTACTTTTAATCTTCTTGCTGATTCTTTATGTATTAATCCATTTATTGATAATATAACAGGTATTATTTCTACATATATTATTTCTCTATTGTTTCTTATTTTCTCTTGTAATTCTTTGTATTTATTTATTTTGTGAATGTAATTTAATTCTAAATTATTATCTTGACATATAGCAACATCTATAATATATCCTTTCTTTTCTTTCATATTTTGATAATATAACTTATCTTATAGTATGGAATGAATTGTCACTAACCAATAAATCTTTATTGTAAGTTATAACCATTTTATCATTATTAATACATTTAGGAGGATTATTAAAATCAATAGCATCAAATTCATTAAAATGTGTAATTAATATTTGTTTATATATTTGTTTAAACATAATCATGTTTTAATATTTGGTTCTTTTTCATTACAGGACATCCTAACAATATATGATTAATAGATGCAATTGTGTTATGACAATGTTTACAATATTTTAAATCATCATTTTGGAGTATTTTTGATTTAATACTTCCTGTCATAGTTACTCCTTCTTGCATCTTTACTATTTGGAGGAATGCATTTATTTTTATATTTAATGATATCCATGTGGCTACTGTTAATTTCTTATCATTGAAATTGCAATTTGCACATCTTATATATTCACCACATTTCTTTTCTTTCCATTCACTTAAATATCTATCATTTAATTCATTATTTACCAATTCAAATACTTCCTTTACATTGTGCTTTCTTTCATTTAATTCTATTATATTCATTAATTCATTAAAATTAATCTTCTTACCAAATGCTTTCTTCATTCTTTTAATTATTCCATTTGGACTTTCTTTTATTGTTTCTATCATTTCTCCTATTTCTGTGTTTGATATTTATATTTTAAATATATTCTTGTTATTTCTTTACCACATTCATCTCTTGCTGACATTAATCCTAATTCATTTATTTTAACATATAATCTACTTTTTGGGATATTTCTACTATATAATTGGAGTTGTATTAATGCTTTTCTTATTTATTTATCTATCTTCTCCAATTCTCCTAGTTTATATTTGACAATACTAAATCAATATCTTAATTTGGATATTATATCACTATTAATCTTTCTTATTGTATTGAGGCTGCTGTACTTCATAGTATTTAATGATGATAAAATAGAAGACACATCATTTAATATTTTTGTACAATATTTATTAATATTTACTTTATCTCCTATTTCAATACCAAGATATTTATAAGGGTTATCATTAGTTACTCTTGGTAGTTCATCTAATTCTCCATTTATTTGACTATTAATATTAGTCATTATCCCACTCTTTTCTACATTAATTTTTAATCCTATTGCATTAAATATTTATTTAGTTAATTTGTGGGCTTTTTCCATTTCATCGAGATATTATTTATTATTTTTAAATCGTCCATATACAATATGTGGTTTAACTGGACTTGTTTTTCTTCTCCATTTATTTTAATATTTAATTTGTTTATTTGTTTATTTAATTGTTTAGATAATACGTCAATAGATAATACAAATAAGAGTGGAGATAAACTGTCACCTTGTATTATTCCTCTTTCTACATTAATCATACTATCACTTTCTTGATTATAATATAAATTAAGTTGTGTATTATTTAATATATATGATATACTATTAATTACTACTAGTGGGATATTAAAATATATTAAGCATTGTTTAATCCATTGGTGGTTAATACTATCATATGCTTTGGAGATGTCATAATATGTTTCTACCCACTTCCATTTATTCTTATTAATAATTGAATGGTTATAGTGTTGTATAATAATCATTCTTTTGATGCGTATGTGTATTTCTTACATCCAATTTGATTTAATGATAGTTGTTTTTCAATTGGATTTAGCATCAGCTGGCTTTCTATTTTCATTTTTAATATTGATGTATACACTTTTAACAGACAATTTAGGCAAGTTATTGGTCTGTAATTCTGTGGGTCTAATTTATCTCCTTTCTTATATATTAATATTGTTCTTCCTTGAATAAAATGAAGAGGTATTTCATTAGGATTATTCAACCATTCATTAAATAATTTTATTAAATATTTCATTGGTTGTTCTAAATATTTAATCAAAAATCCTTGTATTTTATCATTTTCAATTTAATTTCCAATTATCAATGAATTTAGTATCATACTTTAGTTTATCATGAGTGATTATTGCACATACTATTATTAATTCTATCTTCAATTAATATTTCATATAAATTAATAT